GTTGGCTTATATTGGACAGAAATTATGTCTCATAACCCTGCCATGTCCTAGCTCAGATTTTAACATTCAGTTTGTGTTAATGAAAGTGGTTGTATAAAAAATGGGAAGTTGTGATCACATATGTGATGATCTTACTAGAGATTAACCACAGAAGCATGTTTTTGTATTACTGAATAAGTTGCTATCCTTCGTTTCCACTGAAGAATCTTTATAGATTCTCCAAATACTGAATAAAATTTTAATCCTTGGGGTCATGCCAATGCACAGATTTGTCTAGATGCGTTGGGATAGGAAATAGTGATTTAATAAGAGATAGTCTTAATTATTATTGGCAAAATGTCTCAATGTTTTTAATGAGGCTAGGAGACTTGGATATAACATAAGATGCAAAATGGCTTTAATTTAGTTACTGTTTATCTTCTTTTAAAGAATTATTTCATTTAACTTCATTTATTATTGTTATGACTATATTTAAATTTGACGAGAGAGAGAAAAAGAAAGTGAGAAAGCAAGCCGCAAGGTCTGGGACTGAACCATGGCTGGCCATGTGGGAGTCCAGCACCTTTAACCACCATGCCTCCTGCCAGCCCCATTGTTTATCTTTAAGACAGAACATAAGGTCTGAAAAACATACTCCAGAATTTAGAAACATGGATTCATCTGAAAATCCTTTAAATGCTGGAGAATTTATTTAACATCTAATGGACTTCACTTTCTCATCTGTGAAATGGGGGTTATAAGTAAGCATCTAATGGACTGTTGTGGTAATTTCATAATAGAAAGACAATATATATGGGAAAAAAATCCTGAGTGTAATAGGCATTCAATGAGATTTCCACTCTTTCACCCATGTATGCACTTCTATTTGCTTCATTAAATTCTGAGAAAAAAAGAAGTTGAATAAATGACCTATGATCTAATTAAGGCAATGAATATTCTTGAGCTATAATTCATTCATATTATAATTAGTATATAGTGTATGGCAGAGAGCCATAAGTACTAAGTAATTAATATATATTGAAGTCTTACTTTGTGCTAGGCACTATGCTAAGTGCTTTTACATGCGTTTATTTTCATTTAATGTTCAGAAGAGTTTTGTGATTTAGGTGTTACTATCATCATTTTTGTCATCATATCCATTTTGTAGATAAAATACTGAGGCTTGGAAAGATTAGCTAATTACTGAGAACAGTCTGTCACTAATCTCAGCCTGCTAACTCCTTCTTCAGTGTTCCCACTATTGACCAGTGTTTTGACTGGAATCAGTGAGGAAAATAAGGGAGATACTAATATTTCTTACTTAGCATAAAGAGATGATGTATCTTAAAGGTTAAAAGCAAGGACTCTAGACCTGCACTTCCCAGTGTGGTAGCCACTAGCCACAAAGGTCTATTAAGCACTCAAAATATGGCTAACATCTGGACCTACTAGAAGTGCTAATGAAAAATCACTTACCTCTGTGTCTATTACTGGAAATAGGGTTAATAGCACCTACCTCATAGGGCCATTTGAGAATAAGCAAGTTGATATACATATAAAGGTTGGAGTGCCACTTGCCCATAATAAACTCTCTCTGTATACATTTAAAAGTGGATAGTCAGTGGGGCCGGCAGGTGGAGTAGTGGTTGAGGCTTTGGACTTGCACATGACTGACTGTGGTTTGAGTCCTGGACTCTCTGGCTTAAAAACTCATGCTGGGAATGTGTGCACGTGTGTCTAAAATCCCAAAAGAAGACTGGAGGAGAAGGGATTGTGATGTGGCCATCACCCCTAGGAGATGACTTCTCACTTTCTTTCTGTCTGTCTCTCTGTCTCTCCAGCAAGTGCACATACCCTATAGCAAAAATATCTGAAAAAAAAAAAAAAAGCAGATAGCAAGACTTGGTGCTCTACCTGATTGTAGAGGTCAAATAACATGATAGTATAGCATCATAGTATGTCCAAGGTAGAAACTTACATGACTAAAGAGGCTATCGTTAATGCCATTAGACATTAGAAATGTAGAAACAATGTGGCTGGAGTCCATTTATTATAGGAGTATTTGCAATAGCAAAATGTGATGAACAACCTAAATTTTTTTTTATCAGTACGACACTGGGCCCATGTATTTAACAGATCTGAATCTGTCAAATTATGAGGAAGACTTTGCATACTAATATGGACCTGCCCTCAATGTATATAGTCATGCATTGCTTAAAGACAGGGATGCATTCTGAGAAATAGACTATTAAGTGGTTTCACCATTGTGCAATCACTGCAGAGAATACTTACACAAACCTAGATGGCACAGCCTACTGTGCACTGAGGCCAAATGGTGTAGCCTATGCTCCCTTATGTGTCCACTCCCATGCATGCAGTTTGTCATTGACTGGACTATTGTTTCACAGCATATGAGTGTCTTTCTAAGTGGAAAGCATGGTAGTGTTAATAGTCTATTATTGTTTCCTTAAAAAGTAAATAGGTTAAGTATATATCATTGAATATGCATGGAATATCTCTGGAAGAAGTAACAAGAAACATAATTGCCTCTAAGAAAACTGGGTTGCTAAGTTATAGGAATGAGGGAGATTGATTTTTTCCCTTATATTCTTCTCTACTTTTTGAATTTTGCACCTTGTGAATATAATGTATATATAGATGTATATGTATATAAATATACAAAATAATTTTAAATAAATTAGTTTCTAACTGGGAAATGCAAAGGGAAAATCAGTTGCCTGAGGGAAAATGACTTCAAGAATGGAAACTATAGAATGGCTCCCAATAGCTACTTGGAAATGTGGGTTCCAGCCTTGGTTTTCAGGCCAAATGTCCATTGAGTTAATTATCTTCCTGTTCTCTAATTTTATGAAAAGTCAAATATTATTAAACCACCAATTTAATACACCAGCTAATAAAAATCCAACTGCCATCTTATTAGGTTCAGTGAAAATTTTCACAAGAGCCCAACTCTCCTTTCCTGCTGCTGACT